TTGGGGACCAGGCTGAACGGGGCTGTCGAATCGGACCCCCTGGACTCACCAGCGCCATGCCCAAGAAGGCCATGCCAGTGTGTGTGAGCTGGACTCACCAGCGCCATGCCCAAGAAGGCCATGCCTGTGTGTGTGAGCTGGTTGTTCCACAGCACCAAGGTCACCAGTCCCTTCCTCTGCTCCTTGAGCCCCTCGCAGATATAGGCCAGACCTAGGGAAGAGGCAGGTGGTCAGTGCCTCTGCTCACACTGTACCAGTGAGACCCAGAGACTCTGGCCTGACTTCTGCCCCTCGGTCTTGGGCTGCGACTTGCCTGCACAGGCTCCCTATCAGGGCTGTAACCGTCAGAGGCACACCTGTCTTCCTGCCAGCTGCCAGCCTGGGAGGGCAGTACTGGAATAGGCCATACTTGTGTCCAGCACCTCCCACCCCCTAGCACAGGGCTGGGCACAGAAGGCGCTGGGTGACACGCGGACAGGAGTTGACAGGCACACCTGAGTCTAGCACGTGGTTGTTACGCAGGTCGAGAATTTGCAGGGAGCAGTTGAACTTGAGCAAATTGCCCAGCTGGGCTGAGTCCTGCAGGCCGTTGAGCTTATTGTCTGCCAAGTAGAGCTCCCGGAGATTCATATTCATCTTCAGGGCTGTGGCTGGAGAGTGGGTGGGAGTGACCAGCCAGCCCACGTCCTGGTCAGCTGTCCAGCAGCAGGCCTTACGGACACAGACTTACCCAGCAGCATGAGGGGACGCCCAGACAGGCTCGCATTTTCTAGGTGCAGCACCGCCAGGCTGCTGCGGATGCGTAGGGCGCGGGCCACAAAGGGTGCAGAGTGGTCCAGCAGGGGTGTGTTGCGGGCATCTAGGTACTGTAGGCAGCTTGTCTGGTGGGGACAGGCAGAGGATGGGTCATTTGGTAGTCACAGCTAACACCTGGGCTCTACACAGGAGACCTAGGTCTGAGTCCCCGGATCCTGTTATGGGGACCCTCCCCCCAGACCACCTGCTGCCCGAACCAGTCTTTACAAGGGTGAGTAAGCCAGGGCTGGCGACAAGGCCACCTTCCAAGGGTCAGTCAGGCTAGGGAGGAGTGAAGGAGGTGGGCAGAAGAGATGGGCCTTGGGTAGGTACCC